TTGTGGCAGGAACGAAGCTGCAGTGGAAGGAACCAACTTGCAGTGTTGCGGTGACCGTTGCGGATATCTCCAGATGGGTGCGACACCCGTGTAGCTTTATAGAAGGAAGATACCTCACCTCCACAGGTTTTGATGATGTTGGCTCAAAACAGCTTGGACCTCCCCAGATTGTGTTCGGCCCTTTTCCCTACCCCAGGTGCCCAGGTCGCATACTAGGAGCCGAAAGCCCGCTACAGGCCCGCTACAGACCCGCCTGCACCGATAACTTGACGGTTACGATTGGTTGTGGAACACGACAGAACGTGTTCCATGCATGAACTCGCTGCGCGCCCGGCTATGTGGCTCGAGGCGAGCTTTGTGCCACTAAGCGAAGGCAAAAGGTCGGAAGCTCACGTGTTTGTCGCGTCGGCGCGTATGCTCGCCACGAGGCCATCGCGCCTCCGAAGATGGTTTGAGCCGAGTCTCAACAACACCCCGGCCTTGTGGACCTGGTTCGCGGCACTCTCACCCGTGGGGTGTGTCTGGTACCGATCAACAGCACTCGGTTGCCACATGCCTTTGTGGGGTACCTAAATGCGATGTACTTAAACATGCGGGGTGCCAGCGAAGTGGTGGTGGTAACTCGATTTTCCATTCTCTCGCGAGACCTGCCCTCCCAAATATCTCCAAACCTTCGCAGCATACCCTTGTAGACCAATCGGAAATGTCTCCCTCTGCCATCACACCGCAATCTGACCAGACAGCACCTGCTGGTCAGGCCGCCAGTGGTCAAGTCGAGCAAAGTGTCCCAAATCCCGTCTACCTTACGACTGAGCCGAAGGAAGACTTTGACTGGAAGATAACCCTGAAGGGCAAAGTGGTCGCTATTACCGGCGCGAACAGAGGTTGGTACATGTCGGATCTAGATTGCGGATAGATGCTGACGTTTTAGGCATTGGACTTGGTCTCGCGACAGTATGCCTCGCAAACGAAGCCGCTGAGATCTACTCTTTGGACCTCTTCGAGCCCGGCGAGGAGTTCCAGGCACTTCAACAGGCAAACCCCAAGCGCGTACACTACCTGCACTGCGATGTCACCTCTGAGGAGAGCGTCATCAAAGCCATTGACGAAATCGTGGCACAATCGGGCCGCATTGACGGTATGATCGCCAACGCCGGAATGACCAAGCACCAGCCCGCACTCAACTTCGACCGCCCGCAGCTCGAGCAGCTTTTCAACCTCAACGTCTTTGGCGCATACTTCTGCGCAACGGCAGCCGCGAAGAAATTCATCGAGCTCGGTATCAAGGGGTCCATCGTCTTCACAGCATCCATGACGTCCTACCGGCCAAACAGGGCAGCGCCATCAGCGCCATATGGAGGAACCAAGGGCGCAGTCCGCAACATGGCACACACACTCGCGATGGAATGGGCGAAGCACGGCATCCGCGTCAACTCGATATCCCCGGGTTTCGTGCGCACGCAGATGACTTACTACGTTGAGCGGGCGCCCGACTGGAACTTGAAGATGCAGTACTATGGCGGCATGCCTAGGTTGGCCGACCCCCGCGAACTTGGCGGCGCGTATGTGTACCTGCTCTCAGACAGTGCCAGTTACACTACGGGTATTGATATTCCTGTTGCGGGAATTGTCGGCGCTTGGTAGAGGTTTTGGTTGCTTCTTCGTCGCGCCATATGCATTGGGTGGAGTTCTTAACTGCCGGCTGGCTGGGATATATCTAGAGTCAATTCAACGCATTTTCTTCCAATCCTCGGTCCCACAGGAAATGCGAAGTGATGTGTGTCGATGTTGGTGCAGATGTTGGGGTCGATGCTGATGATGTGGTGGTGCTGACTGTGAAGGATGTAGCGATCCGCCTCAAACGGAAAGAACCCGGAACGCGCACAACCACGACTGACTAAGCACGTCCTGGCATTGTACACAACCCGTCGCTATCATCAAAATACCTCCTTTCTGCATGAACGCAACTTCTTCATTTCTCCTAAACAGACTCCAGGACTGTATCATGGCCATCAGGCCTCCCAACTTCTGCCGGTGGTGGACAGTGCTTTGGACTGGCGCGGGGTCCTAGAACTGTATCCGACGCGGGCCTTTTGCGAAATTGCCACAGTTTCCCAACCACCGTCTGATCGCCTTTCCTAGGTTCGCGAGATATCAACAACTGGGCTCCGCATGCGCTGTGTCATCCTGGACTAGTCCGAAGCCTGTCCCGTTGGTCAGAGACTCGTTCCCCACGGCAGGCCTAACCGCCGAAGCGGATCCTCGAGGGCCAAGCGAAGTTCCACCAGCATGCGCAACATCATTCGTGATGCAAGCATCGTCAACAGGCAATCCCAAGCCGCGCAAACCCCGTCCCTCACGAGCGCGAGTAAGTTTGCCTATCTCCACTGCATGTGAGAGCTATACTGACTCGACGCTTCTCTTGCAGGGCTTACGTACGACAACTGGATGGTAAGCTATTCCCTCAGCACGTGTTATCTTGTCTCACCCCATGGTGAAGCTCGCTAGCCCGATCAGCGGCAGCGTGCAAAGTATACAGTTGATCACTAGCTAACACAGACAGCCTAACCTGTAGACGAAGGAGGGTGAAATGTGACGAGCTAAGACCGCGGTGCGCAACATGCAGCAAATCCGACAGAGAGTGCTTATGGCCATCACCTAATGACCCTCCTGGAGGTGCAGCAAGCAATGCATCTGGCTCTGTACAGTCAGACACGTCGCCGGCTCAGGACGCCTCTTCTATTGCCACTACATCGCCGGCGCCTGCCAGACGAGCGATCCCACCTGAAATTGATCCTCAGCTTTGGAACGCTTCTCCCGAGCTCCTGTTTGAATCGCCGTCGACTATCATCAACTCGTTACCTTCTCCCAACTCCGCACCTCTAGCTTATTACGACCTGCTTGCTGAAGATGCCATCAACAATATCGACAAGTACAATCTCAATGTGGACCTAGACAGGAATAACTTGTCCAGACAGCAAAGTCCAGCAACCGACGGAGCAAGCTCTGGTCGACACCCGCTCTCATATGAACGAACGGAAGATGCCGATCCATCGGGACACGAGCCGTGGAACTGTATCGATGTCATACCCATGTCGGACGACGAGCTTGTGCTCTTCCAACACTACGTCAATATCATTGGTCCCATTTTGGACTTGAACGACCCTTCTAAGCAGTTCACATACACTGTTCCTTCTCTAGCGGTCCACAATGTTGGCCTTTTGAAGTCTTTGCTCGCCGTGTCGGCGCGGCACATGGCACTTCTGAACGAGCCACAGCTTCGTCGGCTCAACATACATGATCCGGAACCAGGCGCTGAAGATGGCAGGACCAGACAACTTCACAGCCCGTTAATTCAGGTGGCGACGCAGTACTACTATGAGACTTTGCACTACCTATCGAAGAATCTCTTCTATCCGTCCTACAATAAGTCCAGGGAGATCATATCAACCTCCATTCTCATCAGTACATATGAGATGTGGGACTCTGAAGGCCAGTACAGTAATGGAGCCTGGGAGAGGCATCTTCGTGGTATATTCTGGATACAGCGGAGTCAGAACAACAACGGAGAGTCCCCAGATCCGCTTCGGAGAGCTGCCTGGTGGCAATGGATACGTCAAGATACTTGGGTTGCGTTCCGCGAAGGACGAAGGGTTCTCACTATCTGGCGGCCTACCAAGCGTTTGATGGATCTCAGCCCGGATGAACTTGCGTTACGGATCGTGTACATATGCGGAAGATGTGTGGACTTTGCAGCAAATGAGAAGAAGTACGATCTGAACACGCGCATCGAGCAAGCTGGAAAGCTCTTACAAGCGCTAGAGGACTGGCATGCGGCGCTCCCGATGTCCTTTCAACCCATCCATCGCGGCCCTCCACCTGGCCCTGGCGCTCTGTTTACACCCATCTGGATCCATCCTCCTTCGTACGCCGCTGCCATGCAGACCTTTCACTTTGCGCGAATCATCGTTCTCATCAATCAGCCATCGATGGGAGGTGTGGACGAGTTCAGAATTCGACAGCGCACTTTGGACGAAAGTGTAGACATGATCTGCGGCATCGCCATAACGCATCAAGGTAGAGATATCGCGAGCGCCATGGTCAACTTCAAGTCTATCTATGCTGGTAAGCTCCTTCACTCACGTACCATCCAAAACAAAGCTTACAGTCTCTAGCTGGTCTATGCGTTCAGAACCCTGTCAAACAAACCGCTATCTTGCATCTTCTTGAGCAAACACTTGACATCACCAAATTTCCACCTAAGACATTACTCACGGATCTTACCAGCTATTGGCGAGCCGAATCATAACCTTCCATTATCGTGCCGAATGCAAGTCAAGTCCGATCTTCCTCCATGAGTGGATGTCAATTTCGTCATCGCGGCAATGCGGCATATGTCGGACCGCAAGAAAACAGACTTTCAGCCGCATGTTCAGCCGCACTTGCCTTGACTCCACTGCGATGCAGACCTGGTTCCGATGAGGTGGTCGCATGACTCGTGTCCGGGCCAAGATCAGGAAAGCATGACAAGGTCGGAGTGTCACGTTGCGAGGCAGAAGTCGGAGGTTGTAGCGGAGCAGGCTCTTATTCAGGTTCGCCTTCCCCACAGACCCCACACGGAGGTGTATGTTCGCCGTCGTGCAATTCCCTGCAGAGATGGAGTAGAAGCGGGGTACATCTTGGAGGGCCGATTGCCTCTCTGGGACGTTTGTGCCTCGTAACGAGGCACATCGGCTAAGGCCCGTCGGGCGGTTCCATTGTGCCCGCCGTCTCGCTCGCAACTCCGTCAAGGCCATCCAGACTGCTCGCGACGAGCACCAATGATAGTTCTCAAACTCCGCGGCTTTCCCGAATCAATAAGCCGCGGGGACATGATAATAGCTTCAGTTCCGAGACGGTTCCGACATGGTGAATTGAATGCGCTCGAATTCTCCCAACACTACATAACAATACGATAGAACATCAAAGACATCGCCAATATACATCGTTCTATAGCCATCATGCCAGTCAGCAAAGATAATCGTACGCTCGCCATACTCAATGCCGCTGCCGCAGGCAACTACGGCGTCATGGCCGCAATCGCGTACGGAATCTTTCACACATACCAACCGCGATGCTAACCTCAGACCAGCTATAATGTTGAGCAACTCACAGCTCTCGTTCGCGCAGCCGAGTCAAGAAAATCGCCCCTCATCATCCAACTCTTCCCGTCGACCCTCAAACAACTACCCCTCCTCGCGCATGCGGCTGCGCACGCCGTGAAGACCGCCACAGTACCCCTCTCTCTACACATCGACCACGCGCAAGATGTCGAGCACATTCGGGAAATCATCGCGACACTCCCTGTCGATTCAGTCATGGTGGACATGTCACATTATGACGAGGCTGAGAATCTAGAGAAGACGAGGATATTGACCAAAGAATGCCAGGACAAGGGTATCGCAGTAGAAGCAGAGAGCGGACGGATAAACGGTGGAGAGGATGGTATTGCTGATACGGGAGATCTTGAAGGTATGCCATACTAAATCCTTGAAATTGGAGATGAAGAGTAAATACTGACTTTACCAGCACTCTTCACATCCCCCGAAGACGTCGACAACTTCATCGCCGCAGGCGTCGACATTCTCGCCCCTTCAATCGGCAACGTCCACGGTGACTACGGCCCAGCTGGACCGAAAGAAGGTCAACTACACTACGATCGCCTCGAAGCGATCGACAAGCAAATCAACAAGCGCGTCCTCGTCGCACTACACGGTACCAACGACTTCCCGCCTGAGGTCATGCAACGGTGCATACGATCTGGTGCTGTTAAGCTGAATGTGAATAAGTTGTTGCTGGAGCCGGGCAACGAGGTTTTGAGAAAGAACGCGCCATCGACGCCGCTGGCGAAGTTGATTGATATGCAGATGGATGTTATACAGGAGGCGACGGAGAGGTGGATGGATATCTGTGGGAGTAGTGGGAAGGGTGTTAAGGCGCCGTAGGGTGGTTACATTTGGATTTCAATGAAATTGATCTTAGCCATGGAGCACATATTACCTTCGCATATTGACCAGACTGCAGATCTTGCAGTGAAGCATAAGTTGCGACAACCTAGATGCAAACTTTACTGCTCAGCGTAGAAGCAAGCGTTGCGAAGGGAAGCCTAGCCCGGTGCGAGCAGATCTCCTTCATTCTCTCGACACAGAAGAGTTGGCGCCTTTAGACAATTCTGCTGTGTAATCTTGTTTCGCGCTCTTCACTGGCCTTGGTGTGTGGTAGTTCATCTTGGATACAGCCTGCAGAATTGTGGTGTTGCAAAAAGAGAAGCACCCACAGCGGAACCATGACAACTATCCCTGAACCGTTTCCAATGTGATACAATACCTTATAACCCTTCCCTTTCCTATCATTGAAGTTCTGCGCAAATATCACGCCATCATCCAGCAACAGCGCTGCATCCACCACGCCGCCGTCCCTCCCGTCTGTAAAAAAATCGCCCACACCCCCAAAAACACCCTGCTTCTTCCCACGCATCAACTAGCACTCCGAATGACGCAGAGATTGGCAAAAGGAAGGTCTTGCCCGGAATCGAACCGGGGTTGCCGGAAGACACTGATTTTGAGATCAGAATCCGGAGTGATAACCGCTACCTGTATGGTGATTAGCGGGGGCAAGCTGGAAGTGGGAATCTGTGAAGACGTACACTACAAAACCGATGGCAAATTGGAAATTACATAGATTATAACAGCTGCATTTGACTCTGCACGCGGCCGTTGGCGATGAACAGAAAGATTGGTTCAGAAATTTTATGTGTGGATGTTTGAGTGTGATGTGGGGCTGGCTGATGAGGGGTAGGCTTGTTGGCCGACCCCGCCGAACCATGTTGAGTGGAAGAATTTTACGTGCGTGAATGGGAACATTAAACCTGCCACCCCATACACGATCAAATTTGAACAGGTCTGGAGACTACATTAAGATAAGATAGTGCAAATTAGGTGACCTAACGTCGATGTAGGCCCTAGGATGTTCGGCTTTTTCCTAGGTTGACTTGCTGTACTGCCATCGCAATACTCGATCATCCATGGGTTGCTCACGTCCTAACGCTCTTTGATGGTAGTATCAGTCTCTTCGATAACTTTACGACCCAACCCTTGCGTTCCAGCGGTATCGATCAAGTAGGTCCTAATAACACTGCGAACGATACGTCCGACCAGGATGTAAATTGTCAAGGGGGCCAGGAATCGGTTTGAGCCGTTTGGATCCAGGTTCACTTGCTATACTTCCATGTGGCATCGCGAGGGAGTCAGGGAGTATGGCGCCAGACGTAGTGTGCATAACGTGTACCACTATAGCTACTCCCGCTGCCTGAGATCCTCCCAACTACTATTGCGTCTCCGATACTGATGCCGTTGAACCGTTTCTCTTGTGTCCAGCGTTCCTACATCATTGCCTCGTTCTCCTTGACTATGATACGCCTGCCTCGGTACCACAACATCCATCTCCCAGCTCATACGTTCATCAATCCGGCTCCACCGCCTCTCAGCCCACTCCATCTGCTTCTCGACATGCGTCGTCGCTTCATCAGCAAGCGCGTGGTCTTCGAACAGGAACGCGAGTTCTTCCAGTGTGCGACCGTAGGTTTCGGGGAACATAAAATACTGCGCGAATGTATTAGCCGATGTATCCCATTCCAAGGATACATACAGGGCAAACCCCTGCGGAAGTGAAGATGACTTACGATGAAGACAATCTCAAACCCCAGCCAAGCACAATACATAATTAGCCATTTCCCCTGAACATGCTTCAACCCAATAGGATTAAGTATCGTCGTTGTAAAAACCGCCGTTCGACTAAAGAACTGGAATATCGTGATTCCCTTCGTGCGCTGCGCAAATGGAAACAACTCGACCAAAAAAGCTGCGACTCCATTAGCATCCTTTTCCCCATCAAACACGCTCGCACCAACTTACTGTATGTCAACGCATTATACCCAATATTATAACACATCTGATACAAAAAGATAATCGCAATCGTCAGCCTCGCCGGCTCAATCCTCTTCGTAGCCGTATATCGCTGCATCGCCACCGTCCACGCGACATAACAACACAACAGACTACTCGCGCAGATGAGATACATTTTCCTGCGCGGAAACCGCCTCACCAATAGCGAGATACACACGGCATTGACCAGATTCCAGCTATTGAGCCCAACATTCACTTTGCCTACGAAGCCAGGGTCGTCGTACCCGATCATGTTGAGGAGCTGGTTGAGATAGTAGCTGAGTAGTGTGTTTCCAGACCACTGCGTGAAGAGTCCGAGGAAAGAGCCTATGATGACGCGCTTGCGTAGACCGGGGACGGCGATCATCTCGCGCCAGGAGCGTTTGGAATGTTCGAGTTCGATGCGGATCGTGTGTTCGATTTGGGCCATTTCTGCGGCGGCGAAGGGGGAGGTTGTGGCGCCTTCGGCATGATACGTTATTAGCGTGGCGTAGGCTTCTTCGCGGCGGTCTTTGGAGATGAGGAAACGTGGGGATTCGGGGATCATGCTGGGGAGGTTAGCTTCATGAGATCTTGGAAGCAGTTGGGATGAGGCGGGTACAAGATGAAGACGATTTGAAGTAGTGATGGGCCGGCTTGGAGCAGCGAAGGTATGCGCCAGGCCCAGTCGTCTTTTAGGCTTTGGGTGCCGTATGAGACGCCTGCTGCTATGAGCGAGCCTACGAACCAGAGTGCGTTGAAGAGAGATGTCATGATGGGTCGTTCCTTTGGATATGCAAGCTCGCCCATTAGTGATGAACCTGCGATGATGCAGAAGGGTATGCCGAAACCGAGGATGAAGCGCGCGCCGACGTACATGCCAGCTACAACGTGTTAGTATAAACTTCATCTGATGATTGAACGTCCAGTCCTACCGCTAATGGAGAAGGCTTGTACCACAGATCCTACGACCATGATCCAAGAGCCTAAGAAGATTGCCCAACGTCGGCCAAATCTATCGTTCACGTACGGCACCAGTGGAAGAGCGCAGATTGCGCCAAGATTGTATGCTGAAGACATGATACCGAGAAGCGCTCCTTGTGGGTTATTGAAGTCTACGTTGTCAGCAACGGCATGTTGTGGCCGAAACCTCGACTTACAGAGCCGCCATGTTGGCGCGATTTGCACTGCGTTGATCATCTGCGAATCAAATCCAGAAGTCATCTCAATCCCAATACACGTCGGCAGCAAGAGTGCATACAGCCTCCTCAAATTCCGCTTTCTGTACCAAGGTATCTGGTCCTGTTCAACAATGCGCGTCAATATCGGTTCCGCCTGCCTCGCAGCCGCCGCAGCGCCAACAGGCGCCATCTTTGGTATCGCACTTCAGACTGCAGCTCCAGCAGAAGTCGAGGGAATGTCACTAGACAGATAAACGAAGCAGTGGCGGCTAGCAGTGATGGGCGTCCGGGGCGTGCGGACATGCCCGTTAGTTCTATATACCCCAGATTTGTGCGGCGCATCATGGCTCGTATCATCAAACTGCATGCAGGTGAGAAAGCGAAACTGGAAGGGCTGTGGTAGAGTTGTGCTGGGGTAGGGGTGCATTGACCTTTGCCCCGCACCCGGGCGATGTTGGTGGTCATATACGAGGCCCAGTAACGAATCAAGGATCGTCCTTAAAGTTGTGGTACGCGGATAGAGTAGTACGCCACGCAGATTCGCTTTTGTGTCGCTGTTCGTATGGCTGTGGGCATGAAACACACACGCATCTGCGTAATGTTTGTTCGGCGCTATGCGACAAAGAAATCTGTAAGTCGGAGCCAAACGACGTGGGCATGATACACGATGACATCTCATACTCGATGTAAGTATCCTCAATCAGAGGACATGCCAAGAGGGGTAAAGTGCCCAGTAAGAACTTGATTAGCGATACCAATTTGACGGCCAGCCTGTTCCAGAATGGTCAGCACGGCACCGCATCCGGAGGACGAACCTTCGGCTCCATGGCATTGGATATACAAGCAGGATATAATGAGCCGATTGCGGAAGATGGACAACAGTGGGCCGTGCGCGGTATGTCTTATGGTAAGCGATGCGGTGTAAGTAAGCGATGGTGTCTGACGGACTACTCCAGATGCTGTGAACGTATCGTAAACTCAGCGCTGCCTCTGACCGGCTGTTGCACTGACGCAGTGTAGGCGACCGGTGAATAACTGACTGTATTGGAGGATAAAGTTCAAATCGTTTGTATCCACAAGAGCGTCTTCGGACACAAACGCGATGTCCAACTCAAGCGAAGGAAGGCTGTAACTTCCCCGCGATCCTCTCCAGGATGCGCTCTGGCAGTAAGCTCTCATACATGTGATCTGTCCACTCACAACAGATTCTTCGTGTATACGCCGGGTCGATAATCTCCTCGATGCCGAACGCGTTCGCAGTACGAACTGGGTTCATCAATCGCTTGTACTCGTTTTCCAACTCTGTATAACGCCTGTCTCGCGCTTCTCTTCCTTCTTTCCTCTCAATCTCTTTGAGTTCAAACGAATGTCCAACTTCAATGCCACCCTCGAGTGGTAAGGAGCCCCACACGCCGGACGGCCAAGCAACGCGCATGCGTGGGTCGCGGCAGTCGAGCATAATGCCTCCAGCTACGCCGTAGACGCGTCGCACAATGACGTTGAAGATGGGCATGGTCGTGCTGTAATAGGTCGCAGCGAGAGTGACGCCGTGCCGCATCGTTGCAGTGCGCTCTGCGACAGTTCCTATCGCGTAGCCTGGAACGTCGACGAATTGGACGAGTGGGAGGTTGAATACGTCTAGGAACTTTAGCATGCGTGTAATCTTCTGAGAGCCCAAAGCATCCAATGCGCCAGCGTTCTGCTCGCAGTTGAGAGACACAATCCCGACTGGTCTGCCCGCAAACCGCGCGAGCCCTACTATTGCCGTAGTTCCCCAGAGCGCTCCGATCTCGAAGAACGAGCCTTGGTCGACAACTTCGGTGATGATGGCGCGCGGGTTGTACATTCGGTTCTTCGAGCGCGGTATGATAGATCGAAGGTTTTCGGACATTCGGTCGATTGGGTCAGAGCAGTCGATTGCTGGAGGCAGCTTCGTACCGCAGTCGGGCAGGTAGCTCAGAACCGTCCGTATCTGTTCAAAGCAGCCCGCCTCATCCTGCGCCAGGTTGTCGATTGTGCCATTGGTACAATGCATTGCGGGCCCACCAAGATCTGTAAAGGAAAGACCCTCCTCGAATGTCGCGTTCTTGACAACACTGGGACCAGCGTTGAACAAAGATCCAATATCTGCAGCCATGACCGAGAAGTGGCAGGCCACCACACGAGCTGCTCCTAGACCAATCGCCGGACCTGCCACGGCGCCTAGATTCGGAATTCCCATATTGAGCTGTTGTACGACTTGTGCGAAGGAGGGTAGCGGAGGGACGTAGGAGAAGCCTGTGGAGCGAATGGTCGTGACGGAGCCGCCGCCGGATGAGCCATCGACGAGTTTGACGATGGGAAGCTTCAACGCGATTGCGAGCTTCTCCATGTATATCTGCAGTCGTCAGTACCAGCACGGATCGATGCAATGAATCGAACTCACGGTCTTCTCCATAAGCGCGCCATCAGCGTGTCCAGCGCGTATGGAGAAGTCATCGGCCGTGAAGACAATCTTTCGACCTCGTAATCGTCCGAAGCCTACCCGCCGTCAGTACATGTTCCCAATGCCGTCCATAGTACATACCCTGCACGTTGTTCGAAGGCACGTAGTCTTCCGGTTCCTCTTTCACTGGCCCCAATTGTTTCCACTTCACTGTCCCACTCACGCTGCCAACCTCCTGGAAGCTTCCAGGGTCAAGCAGCTGCTCGACTCTTTCGCGCACCCATAGTTTCCCTGCCTGCTTCTGCCTCACGTAGCCCCTATTGTTCTTGTCGGGCGTCGCGGCACTTTTGCGAAGAGTCGCGATCTGCCCAAGGATGTCTGAGTAATCAGCGGGCAGATCTGATTCTGCTCCTTTCCGTCGTCGTCGCTTTGGTGTGTTGGGCGCGATGTGGGAGCTGACCTGCGCGAGTCGGTCTTTAGCGGTTTCGGATGACGTCGACGCGTCTTTGGGCACGGGCTTTGGGTCGTCGCCAGCCATGACTGTCGTTGAGGTATAATTAGGACTATTTTCAAGCTCCAGTGATGGAGCGACAACGGAATTGTCACATCTCGATGATGCGGACCAAGATGGAATGGTCGTGGTAGAATGTTGGGGTAGAGCTGGGGAACCGAGGCATGTTCAAGCTCCCCGCGCTTGCCCTCCTCCATCGTACTCCGCCAGAACGCGACAATGTCATTGTGGATGAATCGAATGTTCAACGAGCGTCCCGCTCTAACATATAATCCAAATCGCATTCCAGCTCTCAAAAAGCCTCCTTGACGAAGGACGACGTGATCACGCCTTACCTAATCCAACGACTCGTCCACTCGAGTCATTTCCACCGATGGTATAGTGGCATAGGTACCCAGGTATATCCACGAATGTACTGCTTGACCGATCCATACTGCTGGCTGGACTCCAATATGACGCGACCTCCACAAAGACCCATCAAGCGACTTCTCATCGCGAATAGGTTAGCAGTCGAGAAGTATACCGGGAAGCATGATTAACTGTCTGCAGGGGGGAGATAGCAACGCGAATTATCTCTTCAGCGCGAGAACTCGACATTGAGACGTTCGCAATCTACGTATCGGGCGACGACTCGCATGCCGTCCGAGCAAGCCATGCGATCAAACTATCATCAGCTTCATCTTTCATGAGTATTGATGATCTTGTCGACATCGTCAAAAAGCACCAAATCGATGCTGTACATCCAGGATACGGCTTTCTGTCAGAGTCAGAAGAATTCTCGAAGAGAATCTGGGAACAAACCGGCGCAGTAGTTGTCGGCCCTGGGTGGGGTATCTTGAGTAATACTGGAGACAAACTCAAGGCGAGAGAGCTTGCCCAACAATGTAAGACAAAAGGCGCGTTAGAGTCGCGAGATTACTGACACATAAACCAGGCGACGTCCCAGTATCTCCAGCACTCCAGCAACCGACTAATAAAGTCGAAGACGTCCAGCGCTTCGCATCTGAAGTCGGCTTTCCAATCATGGTCAAAGCAGTAGATGGAGGCGGTGGCCGCGGAATACGTCTCATTCGCAGCCAAGACCAGCTTGCTTCTTTAGTGAAAAGAGCAGTCGAAGAAAGCCCATCCAAGCAAGTCTTTGCAGAGAAGGCTGCAGTCGATGGCTTCCGGCATATCGAAGTACAGATCATTGGGGACGGTACTGGAAACGTGACGCATCTATGGGAGAGAGAATGCAGTATTCAAAGAAGATACCAGAAGATCGTTGAACTAGCACCCAGTGTCGCGTCTGACCGAAAATTGATCGCACAGGTCATCGAAAATGCTCTGAAAATGGCGAAACATGTAGGTATGAATGCTGGTCTCGGTTCTGTCTTACTAATAAATGCATAGATACAATACTTCTCTCTCGGCACTTTTGAGTTTCTCGCGAATCCATCAACGAAAGAGTACTACTTTTTGGAGGTCAACCCTCGCTTACAAGTCGAGCACACGATCACGGAGTCCATCTCTATGACTGATATAGTCAATGCACAGCTATTACTCTCCCAGGGTGCATCGCTGAATGACTGCGGTCTACCAACAGCCGAACGAGATCCAGAAGTGCCTCCTCCAGCGCATTCAATCCAACTGCGTATCACTGCGGAGAATGTTCAGAGTGATTGGTCACTGTCGATTGGCAAGATTACATCTTCACAGTTTCCGTCGGGCAACGGCATTCGAGTCGATACACATCTCATCAGCGGCCGACCCGCCGTGGTTTCTGCAGACTTCGACAGTCTGATCGCAAAGGTCATCGTGACAGCGTCTTCGTGGAAAGACACCGTTCGAAAAGCGCAGCGAGCGTTGGATGATACACAAATCGCCGGAGTGAAGACCAACATCGACATGTTAAAAGCCATAGTCGCGCACCCAGACTTCCTAAACGGACAGTGCGACACGCAATGGCTAGAAAGCAAACAAACCGAGCTCCTCCAATCAAGCCAAAACATCGCTTCAGCCAGTCCAAACACTCTAAACTCAGACATTGTCCCATCTTCCTCAACAGCCTTAGTCTCAACAGCCAACACTCTCTTCCGAAAAGGCGACGCTTGGTCCATTTCGATCTCTACCCCCACCATGAAGACCAATGAGAAACCACCACCCCACCATCTCGAACTAACCCGCATCCTGCGCAACGACTTCCCCACTTCCCTCAGCGCAGAACTCCTCTTCACCACGCCCTCGACAGCTTCATCTAGCATGCCCCAAACAACACCCTACACCATAACCCTCTCTTCAACGTCTGCCAGCGCATCAGCAGCGACGTCGCACCATAGACGAGGAAACCCGTCAGATCCATCGCACATCAGCATTCCCTTTCCGGGGAAGCTGGTAGAAGTGCTGGTTGACGAGGGTGACGTGGTGAAAGAAGGAGACGTGATTTGTGTGGTTCAACAAATGAAGATGGAGCTAGAAGTACGCAGTCCACGTAGTGGGCGGGTGACATGGGTTACGGAAGCGGAGGATGGGGAAGATGTGGCGGAGGGGGTGTTGGCTGCTATTGTTGAAAGCTCGCAGGAAACTCGTCTTTGATCTCATGTTTCATTCGTTCATTTGTCTTTTACATCATCTCAATATCCAAATCCCATCCTATGCCGTCCTCTTCAGCGACACGTATCTTACATAGTCTCACACTTAACAGTCGTATAAACATTGTCCTTCGTCGCCCGACTATACGGGCAAACCTGCCTCGCCTTGTACACAACCTTCTCCAAATCCTCCTTCGCCAACCCGCGTACCTTGACGAGCAGCTGGACGCGAAGACCCATGTCAAGGTCTTTCATGCTGCCGACGAGTTCGACGGTGGATTCTACGATCGAGTCTTCGGGGGTGGAGGGCATCTTGACGCCGAGGGAGGGGGCCACGGCGTTCATGGCGGATTGGACTGGTGGAGTTAGTTGGAGCTATAGGGATAGGTTATGAGAGGGGGATTAAGGCCTACAGCATGCGCCGTAGCCGGCTGCGAAGAGTTCTTCGGGGTTGGTCTTTCCGGCGTCGCCGGGGCCGCCGAGGGCTTTGGCCATTGTTAGGTCGACCTTTAGGTTCTCGCCGTCTACATGTCTGGAGATGTGTCAGTTTGTTTCTTCGTGTGTTTCATGGAATAGTTCATCGTACCCTGTGCGTGCGCCAACTACGTGCGCCTTTGCCGAGTAAAGCTTCGGTGCTGTCTCAGTGTTCAAGAAGCGACGGCACGGTGCCGCCATGCCATTCCGCTGCGAGACGCGAACCGCATTGCGAAACATTGGTGTGAAGGTCCTGCTCGCCATTGTGTATGAATTGAGGGCTGTGTGAGGGTGAGGGATGAATTGAGTTCTTGGATGTTCAAAGAATGAAGTTTGAGATGACCAGGGCTAGGTTGAGCGATTTACCCAAGCTCTACCAAAAGTAATCTGAAGCTATGACAGCTGTGACGTCCACGCAGCGATCTCGCGGCGTCCAAAGTCATGACGTTTGCATCCAGCCAGCTTGGTGGATTCTAGCGCAAGGCACTCCCGCCGCTAGTGAAGCGAGATCTGGGGAGATCGCGTATCGCCTTAAGCCGCAGACATAGGTAAGGGGTTGCAAGTCTGTTATTTGCTGTGCAGGAATGTAACATGAGGCTTCATAGATGGCTTATATTCTTAGTGTATGGGTTCCAAAGGCGCACGCAATCATCCGTACCAGATAGCGACGGATTTAGAGCTCTCCCCTGCTGGTATAGGTTCAGTCATGCTCGAATTGGATCGTTGTGTAGAAAATGGACTGGTGTTGGGAGTTGTCCAGGATAGCAACGCCGCTTGGCAAATCCTCATTCGCCTATGTTCTCCCAGAGGCGTTAGATTCCGATTGTTCTTGTGGCGGAATCTTGCCTCGAGTGGTGGAAACTGTCGGTGAAGGAGAATTAGAATCTTGATCGTCCATGGAAGTAGGTCCATCCGAGCCTGGTGGATCTTTCCATACTGTGCATCGCGCAAGCGACGAAATGACCAGAACCTTGGCATCCTTCTCGGTGGCTACCAGCCCAGTGTCCATGAGCATTTTTACAATGGTATCTGCCCCAAAAACTTCAATACCCCGACCGCCTTCCGCAGACCAATTCCTGGCTTCATCGTCGTAGCTTATATTCATTCTCATCCATAGTGCATCCATGAAGCCAGAAAGCAACTCAAAGGCGAGGTGAGCTATTGGCATGCCAACAGCAACAACGAGGTAACCATACGGGCGATTTGCGTCGGCTTCAGCTGAGAAATTGAAATTATGGATTCTTTCAATACTCAAACCGGTGCAATAATAGCGACCGTGCAGCATTGAAACGATCATGGGACTCCTGCTACCAAATGGTGGTGCCATACGGCCATTGCCTAAGAAGAGACGACCTGGCACTTCTGCTTCGATGTGGGCATCAAGAAAACTGATCTTCGTTATCCAGTCCTTCTCGGAGAATACCTGCGCGACACATATCTCTGTGGTCTCATGAGGTTTTGCATACCTCCACAGGGCTAATAAAGCATGCAGTGTTGTCTCATCGACGAGTCCGGTGAGCTTCAAGCGGACGTAGTGTTGGCCAGAGCCCTTAGGACTATTCACGACTACGTGCGTCCACTCGGTAAATTCTGCGGCATCATAATTCAGGCCGAAATGATCCAACAATTTATACATGGCCCGACGGAGGTTCTTGGATATGGGAGCAACATCACCATCATCTTTAGACGACAAGGATTGCAACTTTCGCCGCAGTACGATCCTAGGATCGTCGACGGTTATCAGGCCGGCGCTGGGCATACTGCCTATACCCCCTGGCAAATACCATGGCAGGAATTTCGGTGAATCACACATTGACCAGGGCACACCTCCGTCGGGCCATGAGCCTTGGCAAGCGGTGCCAACGGATAAGGCAATCCAATTGGGGTTGCTTTTCAAATGAAAACTGATTGGTTGATTCGAGATCCCTCTGCGGATCCAAGCTCGAATGCAAGTCATCAGCAACGTGATTCCGAGCTGTGTGACCGTTGCAGACCAGTGCAGTGCTCTCAACCCGACGAATTGGCAGATGAATCCAGTGAAGCAAAGACCCACAGCGAAGATGACTGTGGGCTCCTGATATTCTGGTCTTGAATCATGAGAATATTTATCCGTCTCTTCTGGCCAGTATCTTGATGTGCGTATCTTCTTATCCCCCGCACGTTTCACGAGCACATATGCTTTGAAGGGCTGATCACCCATATTTTGTTGTAGCTGCAACCAGAAGACCTCCTTCACAATGCGATCAGCCGCCGGTGTGAAAGTCTGCTCAACAGTGGCTGTTTCGATGGTAAACGAGCAAAGTGCTATACCCAAGACGAGTAAGTATGTCCCTACAAGGAAAGTTGGATATGCGTAGTCTTGAACAGGATTTGTACCCTTTAGCTTTCTCCAGTGATATGTCATGACGGCCGGTATCGCCACAGCAACACATTGCAGAGCTAGCCCAATGATTGCAAACGTCCATAATTCTCTGCTCTTTGGGAGGGCGTTCTGCACATTGAATAGCAGGTTCGGTGGCTGACTGGCAAGCTTCCCGGGTAACTGTCTGGCCCGAGCTTCGGCAGCACGTGTTGGGTAGAATCCGGCCTGCAATTCTGAATTTCCGGATGGAGCAAGAACTTGGGATTGTTTCCTGAATTTGAAGCTCAGTTTACCAAACACGTCTTTGAACATCTTCGAACGGCCTTCATCCGCAAGTTTGAGAACTCCTGCGTCGTAGGCTTCGCCGAGGTCGCCGATGCGAACCTGGCTAGGAGCTTTGAGTTCGATTTCATCCTGGCTTGAGACCTTTCCGGTAGACTTTGGTTCATACACAATCATCTCGAGGATCTTAGCATGACCCGCTTGACGCACGACTCCTTCCTCGGTCCAAAGCTCCGAAGTGGCATCTGAAGTCGATGAAAGAAGCTCCAGCTCTGCTGTCGCCAGTTTCTCTCGCGCACTTTTGACCATGGTTAGCAGAGTACGAGTCATCAATGGGAGGCTACTTGCCGACCGATGATAGCCTTCAAGACTCTGACATTTGAGACGCGAATTGCCGAAACCACGGTAGTGATTATGCCCAGCGGACCAACGGCGAGAAGTATATGATCAGCCCACCCGAGCGACATGCTGAGGAATTGTTTGGTAACTTGCTCTCCGAAGAGCGTCAAGAGAGGCGCCAGATCGCTACCGAGGTTATTGATGAACTCTTCGCCATTGAAGCCGTCTGAGGAGGTAGGCGTGGCGATGATCGGTATTGCTGTTGGCGTACCGCTGCTGGTCGAGGTAGTCGCGGTCGGCGCCATGACGTCGACAACAGCGAAGAAGGAAGTAACGAAGAACAGCTGGGGTACGATAGAGCCGCGTGGGGACTCGATTCGAAGGCAGGCAATTGCGGCTGAGCTATTGCGCAGGCCAACAATGCCGCAAGGCTGAGCACAAGAATCCCAGCAACGACACTGGCGAGGCGGTTTGACTGACGGTAATGCGCCTGAGAAGCCTGGATTGTTATACCCTCAGTTGGCGTTGCCTCAGAGAGACCCTAGGGGTCTTCCGGTATTGTCTTGGGGATGTCAGAGGAACATCGGTTGAGAGAAGGCAGGACGAAAGAAAGTTGCGGGGCTCAAGCTGGGAGGTCATTAACATCAGCTATGCCTGAAGCGAAGGTGCATGAGGCAGATTGATAACTGAACGAATAGGACATCAAGCCACGTCTGACAGCAGGCGCCTACCGCTGCACTCGGGCGAGGAAGGAGCAAACGGAACGGACTTCCAATTCTGACCAACTGGGGGATGTGTCATCTTTCGAAGCCAATAGGGTATTTAGGTACATTAGAGGCGTGTCTTCTTTGGTATGCGCTTACCTCGTGCCGATAAGATTGTGATTACTTATGGTTGTGCTTCGGTTAGCAGGGGCCTGTCAGCGGGGTCTCAATCATCGCAGCTTTGCATGCCATCGTCTCGAAGATGATTGATTCAATAGTCTATAGTCTTCTTGATCGCGTCGTAAACCCCTGTCATCGTCAGCAAAAGAGTGCGCACATACGTCGACACATTGCAACTTACTAGTGACATCCGGAATAACGAACTGCTCAAACATGAGCCCGGTATGTGTCGCCCACCCAGTCACTCTCTTCACAGGCGCCTCTAACCTCAGGAATGCCTTCTCCTGAATCGTAGCAGCGACCTCAGCACCAACACCAGCATTCATCATACTCTCATGGACTACAATCGCCCTTCCAGTCTTCTTCACGCTTTCCAGGACCGTCTCTCGGTCCCAGGGGTATATCGTCCGGAGATCTATCAGCTCAACGCTGCATCCAAAGTCCTTCTCTGCTGCTGCTATCGCGGCTGAGCATGTGTATAGCGGTGTGCCGTACGAGACGATCGTGACGTCCTTGCCTGTCTTGAGGACTTCAGCCTTGTCGAGCGGGAGGTAGAACGCGTCGACGGGTACGTGCTCGACAGCAGCGCGGTACAGTATCTTGGGCTCCATGAATATGACGGGGTCTTGACAACGTATCGCGGAGAGGAGGAGGCCTTTGGCCTGGACGGGTGAGCGGGGTATTACGACGCGTAGACCGGGCGTGTGGGTGAAGAGGGCTTCTGGGGATTGTGTGTGGTATCTAGTGACGTGTCAGTCGATTCAAGAGGGAGCACTGCTGGAGTCATACAATGCGCCATGTCCAACACTGCCTGATGGCATGCGGATGACTAGTCCTCCGCAGTTGACGCCAGTGCTCCCCGACCGGTATCTGTACTTGGCCGCCTCATTGTGTATCTGGTCGAAGGCGGGGAAGACGTAGTCGGCGAACTGAACTTCGGCCACTGGCTTCATGCCCTCTGCAGCTGCTCCTATAGCGAATCCCACGAGTCCCTGCTCGCTCAGGGGAGTGTTGAAGACGCGTTCTGTGCCAAAGTCCCCAGCCAGGTTCATGGTACACCGGAAGACACCGCCGAATTGCACATCCTCTCCAAACACCATAACGCGTTCGTCTGTTTGCAATGCATATCGCAGGGCTTCGTTGACAGCGGTGTAGAGGTTTATGCGCTTCGTCTGGCCTTTCTGTATTTCTGCAGGGAACTCGGGATTCGCAAGGGAGGATTTGGCGGTGTGGTGGAGAATGGGCGTTGCATCGTACTCTACTGTGCCATTGAGGCGTGCGCCAGGTGCTGCCGAGGAGTATTGTTTGCGTTGAAGGTGGTGTTGACAGCGGGGCCGGAGTGGTGCCTGCGGGCGAAGCAGATAGCGCGACAATGCGCGGATTGATGGTGTTCTAGCAGCCATGTCTATAGAAATGAGAGCAACGAGTTTCCCCAGAACCCCAGAAAAGGTACATGCAATAAAGTCATGCTGGGCACAAACATGTGAGCCGACGGTTGTGCGGGTGTATGCCGCGGCTACCAGCGGCTCTCCAGGTTTCAAACATTGCGGAGTTTAGCGGGCAAGCGCCGAGAGAGGAAGGTGCAGGCACGTGATGTGGCTGCAAGTAACGTGACTCGAAGCTTGCCAAGGCTGGAGGCGCTGCATAATGACGACTGACGCCAGAATGGTTCGCACGGCAGGTGGAGACTAGCGCGTTCAAACTTCGATGGTTTGCGACAAATCCCCTAAATCACTGTGCGATTGTGATACGAAGGGCTTGCGATTGTCTTTGATTTGGGTATACTGCAGAGTATGGCAAAGACGGCTACGATCGTAGGAAGACGGCACCGTGTTGGACTTGGCGCCTAGTCTTGAGCCTGGGGAAAGCAATACAGGCTAGCGGGAAGAAGCCTCGCCCCGGGGTCAACTTTGTGTCCGGCCCCTTGTACCGAAGACGCGTACACATGCTGTGATCAGAGGCAGATGCTATTGCGTGGTAGAAGGACAGGCTGTTGTTAATTACGCCGGGTGTATACAACGGGCTGAGGTCTGACACAACAAGACTGCACGCGCCTTTGTCGCCTTTGGGAGGCTGCATCATACGTCTAGATCCCGGCCGTGCGCAGACCCACCAAACCGCTGCTTCCGCATCATTATTTGCGCGCCCACCACAAACCTTGGAGTCCACCTCTCTCGCCAGTCCATCTCCTCGACTCGGAGACTCTTCATCTTCCCGCACTGAGGTGCTTCCCATGGCCATGAGCGCTCCTCGTCCACGCGCAGCCGCCAATGGCTCGATGCGGACTGCTCGCCTCGCCTTCATCGGCCTCTTCCACGCCTTCGCGCCCATGGTGACCGCGTTGCCCATGCCCTTTGGCGACGCGACCTTCAAGACCGCTGGGGAGGAGGTCCCAACGGACAACGATGGAGAGCGCTGGCTTCTCCTGGGTATCGCCGTCGCGCTTGTCTTGGCCGGTGGTGTGTTTGCGGGTCTGACCATTGCGTGAGTACATCGCAGTCCCGCCATCGTGTCACAACGCGCTAACAGGTTCTCTCCAGCTTGATGGGCCAAGACGAAATCTATCTCCAAGTCCTTGCTTCATCTGGCGAGAAGCACGAGCGCAAGAACGCGGCCAAGGTGCTGAAGCTGCTCGAGCGAGGCAAGCACTGGGTCCTGGTAACGCTACTCCTGAGTAACGTCATTACCAACGAAACCCTTCCTATAGTCCTGGACAGGTCCCTCGGCGGAGGATGGCCTGCCGTTGTCAGCTCCACCGTCCTCATTGGTATGCGCACCCTCTCTCTCACCTACTCTGTTTACGTCTAACACGCCTCAGTCATCTTCGGTGAAGTCGTCCCTCAGTCAATCTGTGTGCGCTATGGTCTGCCAATCGGCGCTATCATGGCACCCATCGTCCTCGGCCTCATGTATATCATGGGCATCGTCGCCTGGCCGACTGCCAAACTCCTCGATTACCTCCTCGGAGAAGACCACGGTACCGTTTACAAGAAGGGTGGCTTGAAGACACTCGTCAGCCTGCACCAGTCGCTCGGACTCGAGCACGAGCGCCTGAACGAAGATGAAGTCACAATCATCACCGCTGTGCTGGACCTCAAGGCCAAGGCTGTCGGCAACATCATGACGCCCATGAAGGACGTCTTTACCATGTCGTCCGATACCATCTTAGACGAGAAGATGATGGACAACATCCTTTCCGCTGGCTATTCCCGTATTCCCATCCACACCCCGGAGAATGAGAACAACTTCGTCGGTATGCTTCTGGTCAAGATGCTCATTACGTACGACCCCGAGGATGCTCTACGCGTACGCGACTTTGCTTTGGCCACCCTACCCGAGACACGCCCGGAAACGAGCTGTCTTGACATTCTCAACTTCTTCCAGGAGGGCAAGTCCCATATGGTGCTAGTCTCTGAATTCCCTGCTGAGGCACGCGGTGCCGTCGGTGTGGTTACTCTGGAGGACGTTATCGAAGAATTGATCGGAGAGTAAGTCGTGCATCCTCGAAAAATACTCTGGCGCCTACGTTGTCGCCGGATCTTCCAACCAAGTTTGTACTAATAAGACCAGGGAAATTATCGACGAGTCCGACGTATTCATCGACGTGCACAAAGCGATCCGACGCATGGCCCCCGCCCCTCGCGCCCGCGTCCCTCGAGGCAAAGTCGTCACCGATATTCCCCGCAAACCTTCCGAAGCACAAGCTGTAGACTCCGAAACAGACGCGGAGCAGAATGGCAAGCCGGCGCCACGCAAGACCTCTCTACCCGAAATGCCTGAAGGCCACCCCAAGCCCTCTTTTCTCCTTCGTCGCCGTAGCAGCGGCAGCAAAGCGGCTGGTTCACCTCTTCGCAGCGATGATCCGACCGTCATGCAGCACCTGAAGCATCTCGGCCCTTCGAATGTCGCGACTAGACCCAAGCAGACTCGCATCAACACTGTCAAGATCAAGCCCGGCCAGGCAGCCGTGACCCCTGACATTCCCAAGACGATACCAGAAGACTCCCAGGCTCCAACCGAAGCAACTCCGACTGAGGGTGTAATAACCCAGGATTCTCATGCGCCTGAGGGTGGTATTGGCGAGGGCTTGCTAGCATCGGCAGGTCGCGAAGCCAGCGACGGCGTACACAGCGTAGCAGTGGGATATGGCACCATGGCTCCAAGTGGCGACCGCATGTCGTGGAGATCTGGTCGATCGGGTATGAGGGAACAAGACGACGAACCTACGTCTCCGAAGGGTGGTGCGAACGAAGACGACGAAAACACTCATCTCTTGGTCGACAACCGCAACGAGAGCGGCGAGGCGAACAGGTCACGGGCACGCTCCGTCAGCACCATTGCCTCCTTGCGCTCGATGCGCTCGCGCTCGCGCAGTCCCTTGAAAAAGCGACACACTGCTCGAAGCGGTAGCATCTCTGAGAATGTTGTCGACGTCAATGGCATCAAGAAGATCGTCTTGGAGACCACAAGCTCCAGCGACTCGGAAGAGAAAGCGAACGGCAGCCAAGTCGATGGTCAAGACGGCGAAAAGCATTCTGAAGCCGAGTCTTCGCATGCCGGAGGCAAAGGCGCAAGCAAAAAGAAGAGGAAGAAGCGAGGTAAGAAGAAGAAGGGTGGCGCTGGAGACAGCCACGAGTCACAACCTCTGCTCGGAGACAGGTAACCTTATTGCCCGTTTTGAGCATGTTGTTAATACCGGTTTCTACAGAGGTCATGAGCGAAATCGGTGCGAATGCGAGTGCGAAGTTTCTCAGTCGTTTCGATTCTGGCAAAATTAATGGGCATGCATCGGCGTCTTCATCACCTTCTTCTCCTTCGATGTTCAACGGGAAAATGGATGAGAATAATGGGCATTGTTAGGATTGTTATCTTTTCAAGGAAGTGTATTATAAAAAGGTGTGTCGTTTCTTGGACGATGGGTGTCGTCTGTGAGCTTGAAATATATATCTTGTAAGCTCGTGTACCCTGTCCTTTCTTTGATTACGCGACATGACATATCAAAGTTGTCTTGGCATCGTCAACAATGATCGTAACGTTACGTCCCAACGCGAGATCTGCCTCTTACCACCAGTCTAGTCCGACCAGGGATCATAACTCCTATCCCCACAATCCCCCGCTACATCCGACCACGTCAACACGTCTTCATCATCCTCAAGGCACCCACACTACCCCGGTCTCGAAACCGACGGACGGAACCCCCTCGAACTAACCCCCTTCTTGACACTAGTCTTCTTGCTTTTGCCGCCGTAGTACTCCTTCCTCTTCCTCTCCCCCCACATTCTCAACTTATTCGGCTGCTCAATACACTGCAACACAACCTCTCCAGCTGCGAAAGCATCTTCAACAGAATCATGTCCCACTTTGTCACTACTCTGGATCTTAATGTCGAGCAGTTGGCTGGCTAGGTCTTTGAGACCCCACCGCCTTTTCACACCCTTTCCCACAGCCTCAGCGGCTAGAATCGCTGAATCGACGATGCGGTCGTGTCGGATACCTAGGGCTAACAGGTCATGCTGTAAAGCATGCCCGACAAGGATCGTGTCACTATCGACGTACTTGAACAGCTCCGCGCGTGCTTCGGCTGATCCTCTCAGCGCTTTCCCCTGCGACATCGCAGTCGCCATAGCCTGTCTGGTGATCCCACTATACTTCGTCCGCCAGTCCGTGACAGGTTCGGTTGGCTGAACGAGCGTATCGATGAGGATCTCGTTGGTGAGGTAGTCGATTACTGACATGCGGGCTAAGGCTGATGTGTCGTTGGGTGCGACGCCGACCATCTCGCAGTCGATGCATATGGCCGCGCGCTTTGGAGTTCTTTTGTAAGGGATAGGCAATGTTGTTCCGAACTTGTATTCGTTGGCTGTGAGAACTGGTCGGGCGTGGCGGTGTAGGATGAGTGCGGTAAGTGCTGACGGTTGTTTGCTATCTGGGATGACGGTCCAATCTTGAGGTGGGATTGTTTTGGGGGGTTGCGCTTTTGGGATGGTAGTGTTCGGTTGGGGAGGACCCTGAGAGGGAGCTTTTGGTCGAGGAGCTTTTGTGTTGGAAGCTTTTAGGTTGGGTACTTGTGTTTTGGGTACTTGTGTTTTGGGTACTTGTGTTTTGGGTACTTGTGTTTTGGGTACTTGTGTTTTGGGTACTTGTGTTTTGGGTACTGATGGTTTGACTACTGGTGCTTTGGGGGCTGGTGGTCCATGAACTGATGGTTTGGAAGCTTTTGATCGTGGTGTGGTTCTCTGTTGAGTGCGCTCCTTGATGAATGTAATTTGTTTGGACGGTCGCGGCGCGGAGGATAGATCTTGGGCATTCGACCATGAAGGTATTTCTATATGACATGACGACTCAGGGTCTGTTGTGCGAGTCGTCCAAGCCACGGTCGGTGCTATCCCGACACGAGAGGCTGCGAACTCGGCATTCTTCGTCGGCATCGTGCCTGGGGCATTGATCACCTCCAGAGTAGAAGTGCTGTCACTCGCAGTGGTAGGTACCGCATGCTTAGACCTAGAATGATCTGATAAGGCTATGGCGCTGGCGAATGCTTTTGTACAAGAAGTACATGTAAATGTTGACGAAGCAGACTTTGAGTTCTTCTTTGGTGCCATTGGAGTGACGTTTTCTTATCAACGATGAGAACGTGGAAATTTAAGTCCGTAGTTTTGCTTTCGAGGAGGAAAAAAGGTTATCATGAGTATGGATGATAGCGGCGGGACGGGCTGCTGGTGATACCTGCCCAGTCTTCCATGCTGTGTAACAACGGAGGGCAACACAGCCTACCCCGCCCACTCAGTGTTCGCCACGTCGGTCCAGCGTTCATGCGCCTGGTACTCATTGCAGTGATGAGACCTTTGCATGGTAGCTGCACAAATGTAAGCCTAGTGAGTTCGCAGGGAAGCACGGGAATTCTAGTGAAAGGCTGAGGTGGCGTTGCCTCACGGCGCTTTCACGACACTAAGTTGAACGGCTTTGAAGCTTCGGTGCGGTTACTAATGAAGAGTATGGGTATAAGCATCCAAGCAAACTTTGATCAGGGTGCATCCTTCGTGCGAGTTGGAAGGCGCGGGCGCGTTGTGACACTCGGTCGCGCCATTCCAGAAGAGGAAAGGTGTCACAGCGGGATACGGGTTACGCCCGACCTTGGGAGTGACATCTCAGTGCAGTGAACAGTCCGAACTCCGAACCACATCGTCAACGTCGTTTCAGAGCCACCGCAGCTCCAACGACGATAATTACGCCCAGCCAAGTGAGGACAGTAGGTGACGATCGATAAGAGAACGTTACACGTCGCAGCTCACGTCGTCATCTCCAAGCCCCGCGTAAGGCGAGCAATTGCGCAAGGCGCCCAGCGGCATGGCCATTCAAGCACCAGCCTTACCATCGCGAGGTACCGCCGGCAGTATTCCAACAATTGCTTGGTAATTAGGGAAGATTTCCGTCAATCAACAAGGATCGCGTGGGTGTCCTGAAGCTTGCGTTGATGCTTATCAAGCTCTATATAGCGTCGCGGGGGGGGGGGGGGGGGGGGGGGGG